CAGGTCTTGACCCCAGAGGGCACCTTAAACACCCCTGCTTGCAGGCCCCTCTGTGTTTTCCTATTTTTTTGTCATTTTTGACGCCTTTCCTTTTTGTTCCATGTTCATAGTTCTTCCTCTGTTGTGGTTTTTATTAAATATGAGTGTATTGTTATGGTAGCTGAACTTAAATTCTTAAGGATAGAATCTTACTTTTTTAAAACAATTCAGGCACTTAATGGTATGGTTTCTTGTATGATTGATTCATGGATGTACCATCAGATGAGCCATATGAAGTTTATAAGTGCAAGGTCACCCAGGGGTAAGGACCTCAAATATGTGTGTCAGTGTATTCCTAACCTCTATCCAATGGATTGCAGATACTGTGAAAATGAAGATGTGCCTGTTGGGAATCAAACCCACAACCTCAGAAATTTTGAGACTCATAATAGAATGCTACCTTTACCAACTAGGCTACAGACACTTGTGGTGGCCATGGTAGGAGGCAGTTGTTTTCATGGTTTAACTGAGGTGATACATCATGGTAGCACACTAACTTGTACCTTAAAATAGCTGTGATGAAAATTATTTTACAAAATTTTTGAAACATTCTTAAAACAGCCATTAACACCTAGTTGAATTATGTACAATCTAGAGGGGTGAGTAATTCTTCAAAGGGCAACATAAAGTTTAATTTGCAGAAACACTGGACTTTTTAAGAAAACTTCTGCTTCTTTAATATTCTTCCCTTGACTCTTATTTGTTGTCATCACAAAAATAAATTAAGCTTTTAATCAGTCTGTTTCCCACTGTCACAAGAGATAAACAATTATTTAGAGGAGATGCCATACTTCCACCTGCTTTCAATTTTTGAATTGAACTGTAATTGTGATTTGTTATTCTTTTATTTCATTCCTCTGTTCTGATTATTATTTTTAGTGCAGAGCTGTAATAATACAGTTTATCAATTAAATGTGAGAATTTTAGGCATTTTTTCCTTCTTATTTAGGTAGAACTGGGAAAAGATTGAATTGCACTCTCAACAGATGGAAAGACAGCTTAATAATAACAATAAAAACAGTGTCAATATTATGAAGAAAAAATCATAGAGTTATTGATTCAATAATATATTAATAATAACACTCACATAATTCGTCAATAATAATTTTGAGATCCAAGAATTGGTGGCCTTGGACTGCACTTTTATTTGAGGAGGGTTGTTGTAGTGTGGTGTTTCTTGAAGTTGCTGAAGATGCTGGTTCAAGTTGATTCTTCTTGTTTGGATTAATTCTCAATGATATGAACAAGTTCATAACTGAGATCTTCAAAATTGGAGTATTGAAACTCAAGGTACTAAATCCTACTCCTTTTGTGCTCAGGATGTGCTTCAGTTGAAAAATCTTGTGTGGTTCAGTTTTTAATAATTCCAACACCCCTGCTCAACTGTGCTACAGATGATTTAACCTTTACAATTAAAACATAACTACAGACACCTGAAGTATGGATTTGAATATCTGAGAGATTGTGATAATGTAAGGATCAACCTCCTGAAACTTCTTGAAGTCATAATTGCACCACAAGGTTCATAAATGTGTAGAAATCTTGTCATATGACCAGTTTTCATTGATTCCATTATTAATTGATTCCATTATTAATTGATTCCATTATTAATTGGTGTCACATCATCAAATAATTTATGATGAACCTGCCTCCTTCATAGTGATATATCAAGACAAAAGAAAGAATATAATCAAATGAATAATACAAAAAAAATAAGAACACAAGTTATGAGAAGAATATAAAACAAGAAGGTATGGTTATAAAACTCACCCCTGCTTGCTTGAACGCATTTATGTATAAGTAAGAAAAACAATTTGATAAAGGAAGCTGAGTGATGTCAGAGAGAGAGTGATTGGGTTGATCAGAATATGTTGAGACAAAAGGGAGAATACGATTGAAGTGGAAATGGGCACTACCTCTTCTATCCTGCTGTGTCTCTTTACTCCTTGTTCAGTGGACCCTGGATCACTGACCCTTTCCATCTGCAGATTGAAATTTTTGCCTTGTTTTGGTCATCTCTCTCAGCTCTTTTTTTTTTTCCTACTCCAGTATCACAGTGTTAAAGCTGTAGATAGGGATGCAAAGGACATGTAGATCTCCTGGAGGCCAATCAAAAAAATAAATCTGGGTTTATAGGGGAAGTGTGGAAGTCATGATCCACAGATTCTAAGTCTTTCAAACAAGGGAAAGTGCAGAAATATAGACAGGATAGGATGTAAGAGGGGAAGGCTTTTATTTAAAGATAAAGTAGCAGATGATAACTGCTAATACCATGAAGCACACTAAGGGACTTAAGTGCCAAAGACAAGAGTGCTCAGGGACAGGGCTGAAGTGCCAACCAAGAGGAACAGTTGGAGAAGGACTGATAGTTTTTTTTATTCATGCACTCTAGACAGCATTAAATAGTCTAGATACAAGATGATTTGCTTGTGGGTCCAGAAGAGAGATCAAATTGAATAGAAAACAAAGTGAATAGATGTGGTTGTGGGCAAGAAGAAAAGGATAGGGAAAAGGAGAGGAGGTTGGAACAAGTGAGTTCTTGACAGAAAGGCATCAAAAAAGCAAATCAGAGTGAAAAAATAAATAAATAATAATCACAAAACCTGTCTTTGATCCCAAAAATACCATCTAAGCAGGACCTTGAGGCTCTGAGAAAATATCAATCATGATGACAGTCCAAGTCTTGATCCAATCTTGAACACCTTTAATAGAGGCACATTGAGAGGAGGAAGTTGTAAGATGACAAGGGAGGGTCTGCGGAGTCCAGATGCCACCAAGTATATATGTAGCTGGATGGTTTTAATTGTCAGGGAGAGATGGATGCACAGATTAAAAAGTCAACATATTGGAGCTATTCAACTAGTATCAAATTCCAAACACAACTTGTAAAGAGAAGAAAGGAATCACTCAATTTTCAAAACTCTGAGTTTGATACAGCACTAAGAAGAAGAAAGGGCGCAGGGGAGCAACAATGTCACCAAGGGGGAGGAGTTGAAGAACCAATTGGCGGTGGAAAAAGAAAACTGATATTCAGTTTAATTTGCACAGACAAGGGACAACAGCCCCCATGAGATAGTCTAGATGTACAACGGTTGAGAGTGTGAATAAGATCACATCAGAGTGGTAATGAATAGGTGAGATAATTCTATAAGCCAACAAGATGATTCATTTTCATACTAATATATCAGCACCAATGATTTATCTCACACAGTCAGTCATAAGATAAGCAGAAAAAATAAACTATAAGGTGGGCAGGCCGGGTTGAGAAGGGGAGTGATCTGGTCAATGGGATTGAGTGCGAAAGATGAATGTTAGGATGAGTAATACATTACAATTCCAACAAGTAGGCTCACAAGGGAACAGAGTACAAGCACCGAAAGGCTAATCCAATGCTATGTATAAGCATGAAAAGCAAAGGTGCTGCAAGGGACACACACACAGAGAGAGAGAGAGAGAAATGGATGTTACTGTTGACAAGGGGAGAATCCAGGAGATGATACGACAGAGATCTGATTTATTGAGAATGGAAAATTGAAGACTGCATGATATTGTAAGGCCAAAAGATTCCGGAGATAGGCCAATCCTTGAAGGGGGGATAAGTGTCGTCGATGACGCGGGACTGGAAGGCGTATTGGTTGCGGAAAGGCTGTGAGGTAAGGAGGGAAAAGAAAAGGACCCACAAGGAGCCGCCGCCGAGCCATCTTGGGATGTGTGGGATCACATACGGCTCTATCAGGATACCAATCGGCTGCATCATGAAGTAAAATAACGACCCGGGAAACGAATGGAAGAAGTCGTAAGGCGAGGGGTGGTTCTGCTGGGCGACCCAGCTGATGGCTATGAAGACGAGGAGCAGGGGAATTAGAATGGGGTTTCGCAGGGGAGATATTGTTCTACATACTTACCAATCTCGTGGAAAACCGAGCTGACAATGAAGGCGCCAAGCAAGCCACAAATACGTTGATGATTGATGCTCAAGCCGAGTTTCGCGGCGAATCGAGAGGCGGGCGAGGCGCCGAGGACATGGAAGCTCCTGCGATAGACCTGATGCCAGTGGAAGGCCCAAAGGGAAGCCAGAGATTTGGCGGTGAGGGGGGAGCCGAAGAGGGGCACGAACAGGCGGAGATCCCACCACTGCATAAAGCTGTCCGGTAGCCGGTAAACATTCTCTGAGAAAAAATTGACCAAGTGGGCGGTGAAGGCCAGGAAACAGAAGGCGAATTCCAACCCATACATGCATAGCATGCCCCATGCGAACGTCGCTAGTCCTTCCGCCACTGTCACGAGCCCCGGGAAACTCGGAAGCCCCAGCGACTCCATCGCCTTCGTCGGCGAGCCGTGATCCCTACACAAAACCAGTGTGATCACCGCTGCCAGTTGTACCACATGACATATCAGAAACCTTCGCATGGTCTGCAGTAGCGTCGGGGGCTCTTCTTTTCGTCCTTTCCAACCCCAGACGTAATCAATTCCCCTCGTTCTGATCATTTTTTTTTAAAAATTTCATGGACATGGGGGAGAAGGTTAAGGTTAGCACACAGCGCTCCAAACACAAGCAGATTGATAATCAGAATCAACAAACGATGTCATTTGATGGAACGACCATACCAGTACGTCTAAGTAGCCATTATTTGGCTCGTTATCTGCTGAATCAGTGAACGATGGAGGTGAGTCGAGAGATTTCTCAGAAATTGATTGCTGAGGGGGCTGGAGATGGGAATGAAAACCGGGGCGGAGTTGAAAGGTAGGATCGGAGGGGGAGGGAAGGGCGAAGCCCCACTCGATGGACCTCATGATAAGATGGGCGAGCCAGCAGGCGAGTTGGAGGTTCAAGGAGCCGGCCCTGGTGAGCGGCTGGAAGCAATACTTGTGCATGATTTCGAGCGCCAAGAAGATGTTGATCGGTGTCAGCGCCATCCGGACCATCCGCAAGCTGCCTCGATGTCCCTCGAACTGCCTCGACTCGAACTTCTGGTGCAATAATCCTAGCTGAATCAGGAACGGCACATGGTACGCTACCACCACCCAGCTCGGCCCCACAGATTGCCTCGTCATCGGGCCCTCCGTTATGATCCTTCTAGATTACGCCTGCAACTAGGTGGGTCCACAACTCTCGATTCCCTCGGCGATGGCTTGCGCTCTACTCCTTGCTCGATCGACTTCCCTCCCCCAAGTCGGAGTATTAAGGGATATCAGTGTTGGATAAGGGTGAGGTGTGGCTAGGAAAAAAAGAAAGGGGATAAATAAAAATCGTGGGAGAACTTGCGAGCGACAACACAGACCTGAGCATGCTCAAGATATAAGTTGGCGGCATGCGCACCAGTACAGGTCCAGTTATACTCCATCTCTGCTCCTACTAGTCTCCTAGATCCCCCTCCCTTCGTCCCCCACTGCATTGTTTGATTTCACTTTCAATTAAAACAG